GCATCGTAGTGTGCATTTGTACTGTTACTGTAATTTTACACTTCCTCCATTTCAAAATAAAACATGCAACGTGTTCTTCTGGGGTTTATTTGGATGGACACAAATCTCTCCGGCTTCATTAAAGTATCTTAGGTTTTGTTTCAAAGATGAACGCTCGACTTAAAGGGTTTAGAGTTTAGAAATGTAGTTTTGTACAATCTAATAGATGAATAGAAAATGAAGTTTACCCAGCTTCTTCAAGTGTCAAGTTAAAGTCATGCTGTGTACAAGTAGAATGTGCAAAACACAATGAAACATCTTCTTGAACGCTTAGATCCAGTTAGTCATCATTATAGCGCCACCTTCTGGCGGACTCACGCAAAGACACAGAAGCGCGTCTGCGTCTAAATTAATGACCATTTATTTATATTAAAAATACATTTCTATGAGTTTGCATCTGCTTATTCTATTCATGAGGACAACTGAAGAAGAAACCGCATCTTCCGTATTACATTTCTGGTTCAAAGTAGGAAAATAAATAGACGCATAAAGTTTAATTTCAATAATAGGCCTACTTTTTCTCAGTCTGTGCAGGCGGGGCGCAGGTGAGCTCTCAGTGTTTCTCTTTCGATTTCGATGTTTGTGTTTGTGTAGGTGTTGAAATGGCGTCAGGTAAGAAACAAATTGGATACAAATAAATGCAGCCACGTTTCCTCAATGATTTATGCATTATTTATGAAATATTAGCCAACGGAAGACAGCTGTTTACTTAATTTCGTTTATTGAAATATATCTCATTACATTTGTTTAATCGTGTCTTTGAACACCAGGAAGAAACTAAACCTCTGCCTGAGGTTTCTTTCATTAATCCTCGATTCTTTACACTTATCTTTGCTGATTTGTGGCAATAGCCTGCTTATTAATAATTGTATAGAGGCTATAGATCAATAAGTATGTGTTGAAGTGTAATTTTGACACTTTAGATGTTCGGAGGATAAGGAAAATCATAATTTCACCAAGTCACAGTCACAGCATAATAGTGCATATAGCTAATGGATAAACCATCTGTTCTTTCGGTCTATGCATGTGTGTGATTTTCTTCTTCTCTCTCTTGCAGCAGGTAGACGTAGTCCAGAATATGATCGTCCTGACAGTAAGTCAATTAAATCGCTTAGTCCCAATATGTTAGGTTTTAATTTTTTATTTATATTGTTAAATAAAAAACGTGAATGTGAATTACTCGCATATGTGTGACTTTCCCAAAACTGTTTAATCGTCTTGTTGTGTGTGAGTGATCAATGGTTATTCAAACTGATTGATGAGAAAGACCTAAATTATTATAATTATATATATATATATATATTTATTTATTAAGTAATTCACTTTTATATTGCCACTGTAAAGCCAAAGCAAATGTAAGAATAATTCTCTGGAATTTGTATATATAATAGCATTCAAATAAAACATATTACATTTTTTATGATTTATCTGTAAAGCATGTTTCACAATAAATATAGTATAATGCAGTGAACAGACCTAGAAGTACTTCAGCGATGCAGTAGACTACTTTACAAAGTAATCTCAGCAAATTTTAGAGTGAACTGTATTTATTTTAGTGCTGTCAAACGATTAATTGCATACAAAATAAAAGTTTTTGTTAACTCAGTATATGTGTGTGTGTGTGTGTGTACTGTGTATATTTAATATGTACTGTATATGTAAAGACACACACATACAGCATAAATTTAGAAAATATTGACTTGTATATATTTATATTCATATAATATATAAATATATTTAATATATAAACATTACATATCAATGTGTAATATGTGTAATAAATATACACAGTACACACACATATATTATGTGAACAAAACCTTTTTTTTTTTTTTGTGGATGCGATTAATTGTTTGACAGCACTATTTTATTTGTTTTTAATGAAATATGCTTTTTAGTGAAATATTAATGAAATATAAGTGTTTAATTAATTATCATCCCAATAGTAAGTCAATAAAATGTATGATCACTTTTGAGTATTAAACAAATGTGCATCTTTCATAGATGTTCTTAAAGCTTCTTACAGGCTTCTTAAAGCTTTCTTATATTTGAAAATTTCTACTAGTGTCTTGGGTGAAATCTGCTAATTCTGTAGGATTTTTAATATGAGATTCTTAAGTGGTGATTGTGCAGTGTTTTTTTATTGAATTTTGTTTGTGTGTCTGTGCTCTTTTTCAGTGAGTGATCTGAGGATTGTGCTGATAGGAAAGAATGGATCAGAAAACAGACGGGTGGCAAACACTATACTGGGTAGAGCAGCGTTTGACAGAGAAGCTCCATATTATTTACGGCAATCCAGTGACAGAATCAGTGGAGAGGTGGAGGGGAGAAAGATCACAGTCTTCAATCCTCACCTGCTCCAGCCGAATCTCTCACATCAACAGATCACACAGGGAGTGAGAGAGTGTGTGTCTCTGTCTGCTCCAGGACCTCATGTGTTTGTACTCGTAATGCAGTTTAACAACTTCAGTGAGAACGACAGACACGGAGTGAAATATGTGCTGAACCTCTTCAGTTACCAGGCCATGAAACATACTATAGTGCTGACTACTGATGAAGAGCCACGCGGATCAATAGTCGCTTCTAGGAATAACACTATTCATGATTTAATAAAGGAGTGTGGAGGAAGACATCTGAAGTTTTCTACAGTAAGCACAGGATGGCGCTTTGAGTTGTTCAGAAGGACAGAAGAGATACTCAAGAAAGAATGGAAAGAATTTCTCATCTGTGACACGTGTGAGGATGAAGAGGAGGAGGAGTCTGGTCTCAATGAGAGCACAAAAACAGCAAGTTATGGAGGAGGTTTGTTAAAGTCTTTTTTGAGGATAATACCTCTAAGAATGTCATTATGAAGTACTGAATTGTCCTCATATAGTTACTGTGTCTTAGAGACGGGGAATGACGGAGAAAAATGAGAAGCACTACTGTGTAACTTGAACTAGAATTTCTTTTTACTGATCCATTTGTTTTGGTTAAAACGCTTCTAACAAAAATGTAGATGTTTTTGAATAGAGTATTAAAACGAAGTCTGCTTTTAGGGTTCTTTTGTGTGTGTGTGTGTGTGTGTGTGTGTGTGTTAGGGCTGTCAGATTAAAAAAAATCGAATTTTGAATATTCGTCGAATTTAAAATAAAAATCCACATTCGAATGCAAAAAAGTTGCATTCGAATTTTTGGTGTGCGTCAGGCAGCTTTATCAGTGGCACACGAGATGCGATGACTATGTAAGTGTCGTTGCATTTTAATGTTTTTGTTAGCCTATCCAGTTGAACCCACTAGATGCAACTACTGCATTGTTAATCCAAAATATCGCAGAAAAAGAACATTAATGCGAAGATCTTGTTTATGTCAAAACTGAAACCAAGCCATTCACACAGAACACATATTTTTCGCATTTTCTAGACAGTCAGTCATCAGTGTTGTACTCACGTCTCGCACAAAAGAGACGCATCTTTAGAAAGCCATGTCAAATTAATGTAAGTTCAACATTTAAAAACATGTTTCGAGAATTTATGGCATTTACCCCCCCCCCCCCCCCCCCCCCCCCCCCCCGCCCCATCCCACAGCATCTAATATTTTTAAATGAAAACAGAAAAAGAAAAAAAGTAGTCTTTGTGGTTGGTTTCAGCCCTTTGTATTAAACTGTGCACACATACATGATGCTGTTTTGTTTCTAATTGTTTAAGCAACTTAATAATATTTGGTTTATAAACATTATTTTAAACATTATGCACTTCATTATAAACATTATTTTATTGCTTTGAATAAATGTGCATTAGTAATATTTTGCTCGATGCGCCCTCTTGTGGCCTCAGGAGAGAAGCCAAAAGCTTTTTTCCCCTTAATTGAAATTATGCCTTTTAAATTTGAATATAATTCAAATATTGATAATATTTATTGATAAAGTATAAAATTCTAATTTCATTTTTCAGCCATTTTGACAGCCCTAGTATGTGTGTGTGTGTGTTTATTTTGGAGCTTGATGGTAAAATCATTAAATAATATAAATATATAAACCTTTTTTTTTGTGAGTAAAATTGTTGAATCTTTTGCAGTTAATGACTGGCTAAAGTTTGTAATCTCTAGAGAGCATCAGACCCAAAAGACTGAAATACACTACACGACTTTTGCCCAGATTTTTACCCAGTGTTTTAAAGTCTGTTTAGATTTTAAAAGTCATGTTGTGTATTCCAGCCCTTATTAACTTACTTCTCTTGTTGTTATGCTTCTACTGCCAGTTTTAGCTCCTGCATTCATCTTTTTACCTTTAGTCTTCAGATAGTAAAATGTAAGGTCAGTGGGATTCATGTCAGGTAACTGATTTGGTTAGGCCCAAACATCCCACATTGAGCACTTGAAAAGCTCTATTACCTAAGCTGTGCTTTTTGTTTTCCATCCCTTTGATACACATTGATGCAGTATATGGTTTGTTACTGTATATACCACCAATACCATTGCATTGCACTGAGATTCAAAATTCAGTGTGCTAGACCAGTGGTTCCCAACCCTGGTCCTGGAGGCACCCCAACACTGCATGTGTTGCATGTCTCCTTAATCAAACACACCTGATTCAGATCATCAGCTCATTAGTAGGGACTCCAAGACCTGAAATTGGTGTGTCAGAGAAAGGAGACATGCAAAATGTGCAGTGTTGGGGTGCCTCCAGGACCAGGGTTGGGAACTACTGTGCTAGACAACTGCATCAGAACAATAGAAAATGTGTTACTATGCAAATACTTACAGTAGCATGCAAAAGTTTGAGCACCCCATGTCAAAATATCTGTTCCTGTAAAGTAAAAGGTTAGTAAAAGGTAATCTGACTCCCCAAAGTTAAAGATTTCTCTTTAACATTTCTTTAACATTTTATGCAAGATAATTTTTTTATTTCAATATTTAGTTTCAAAATATAAAAAAATAAATAAAATAAAAATAAAACTGCAAGCAGCGTTGACGGGCCCAAGCCATCAGTGCAAAAGCCACCCCAGTGGCATCAGGAAAACTGTGAATTTACAGTAAACCTCTGGCAGTCTGGTTTTAAGGGTTACAGCAATGAAAGGGTTACACTATAAGATCAAGACACACACACACACACACACACACACACGCACACTTTGAGAGAACAATATATAAAACTTTGGTAACACTTTACAATGCTAGTTTCATTTGTTAACTAACTATATTAGTTAAAAATGAACAATAATTATAAAGCATTTATTAATGTTAATTAATATTAAGTTCAAAATGTATTAATACATTATTAAAATGTAAAGTTGTATCTTTTAACATTAGTTTATGTACTGTGAATTAACATGAACATAAATATTTTTATTAACTAACATCAAAAAGATTAATAAATGCTGTAAAAATATATTATTCATTGTTAGTTCATATTAGTTAATGCATTAACGTCTCGGTAACGTATGTAACCCTCCTTCCCTGAAGGAGGGAACAGAGACGTCACGTCGGAGGACCGACGAATTGGGATCTCGCTTAGAGGGACCAATCTACTTCGAGTGTAAACTAAACGAGCCAATGCACATTGGCATGCGATTATTGCATCCAGCTGCTGCTGATCACAGCGTGAGTATAAGTAGGCAGCAGATGCAGCGCATATTC